ACCTTGTTCACATAAATAAGTAGGTGAAAATCAGAGGCATTTTATTATAAAAATTTCTTTCAGTTCCTTAACACATTTTTGAGGAGTGTGCCAAAACTCACATAGTGATCTTTGATCAAAAATTACTCTTTAAATATCCATCAGCTCTCATTATGTCCACTTTCAATTTTGCTAAAGAGAAAAATTGGAAACCACCTCATTTGACAAATTTGAGACCTAGTGTGCAAGCCATTCATTTCTCCATTTCTGGGAAGTACACCAAAAAAGGCTTTACCAAGACTTAGCAAATAATTATTACCCTACTTATCATTGTTCACTTGGTGGTACTTTAACTCAATATACCTGGTACAGTTGGAAAAACACAATATGATTAATTTCATTACAAGCTTCAAAATATTTATGATAAAATGATTTATTTCGAATATGACATAGTCTAATTAAAACCTCTCTTGTGCACATTTAGCTTACTTTAAAATAAATGTTTACTGAATAAGCTAGCTGGTGAAGCTAGGTCACATTGCTAAATCCATCAGAAAAATCTTGACTTTATGTCTGAAAAAAATATTTTAACTTCATTTTTTCCATAATCTATTGAATTTTATAAAAAATAAACACTTAAAAAAGAAACCGCTAGAAGTATATCACTAAGGCATTATGCCCAAAGTAGAATGTTATAGAGTTAGTATAATTTATCTATTTTTGTCAGAAAATTAAGATAATATCATTTCTTATTAAGTTTATAACACCTCAATATAATGTTTAATTAGTATGAAAAGATATTTGTGAGGTGTGGAATTCCTGTAGAGTTCATTTGCACTTATTTATATTCCCCCAAATTCTGTAATTCAACCTTAGAGAATAATTAAATAAAAAGCACAAATAAAACTAATAACTATCAATGCCAATATGAATTACGATTATGCTTGTCAATACTGTATTTTTAGCCAAAAAAGTATAACTTATAAAAAGCTCAACTCCAGAAGCTACAAATTTATTTGTCTTGAGAGAAACCATAAAATACTGTATTAAACAGTTCATAGTAGAAAATGAAATGAATATTGACTACGACTGGAACAAAGAGCTCATGATATGGATTGATACAGTTTGTTATAGAATAATCTACAATGAGCCTTGAAGAAATAAAAAACAAGTTTTATCGTTATCGTTTGAATGTATCCATTTTGCTTTGATTTTAAAAAAAGAATTAGTATTACTAATCTATACTACTTTGTGGCTGCTTTTATTTCTAGCTAATTATACCCCAGGGATGAGGGTGAAGAGTAGCATCAAGTTTAAGAACTTTAAGATGCCAGGTTTAGCAGTTAGAAATTTGTGCTCTCAGGGGACTCTTCTTCCGGGCATGGGGGAAATGTGTATTTTTATAAATGATAAGGGTGGAAATGAGAAGGAAGAAGCACAATTATTGAAAAGAAAATTGACATTGCATGCAATATACTACACTAAAATGGATTCATAACATCTCAAAAGACAAATATCCAATTTGTGAAATCATGCTTTATTTTTCAAAAGTAATTTTCACAAGGAAGGGGATGTGGAGAAACATTCAGGCTTCAGAATGCCTCGATTAATCACTAAATAACACCTCCGCTCTGTGTCACAGAAGTTTCTACATGTATGAGCATGAAGCACAGCGACATTGGGGATCAAATAAAAAGGCATATCTCAGTTTTGGAACACAGAAGCACTAACATAAGGCCAGGAATATTTCAAGCAGAGTGATTTTAAGAAAAAGAACAGAAGGAAATTGCCAATCTGGAAATTGGTTGTATACCTCTTGGACGTTGTCAGTTTGATGATCATGTTCAGCCATGAATTTGAGGAATGGGAGAAAGCCAAGAAAATCAGAGAAAGAAGTGCACAGAAGCAGGGAGGAAAAGGGCAGTGGTTTGACTTGGCAGGAGGCTGGAGTCCAGTGGAAGGCTGGACAGGTTGAAATCCATGATAGAGTGGTGATGAAGGAACTGTGATGTCATTGTACCAGCTTCTGAGATGTCTCCCAACAGTTCTTGCCTCTTGATATTCATCCCCTATGTAATGCCCTCCCTTCTGATGTGCACTGGGCCTAGTGATTTGCAAGTAACAATACTGTCACTTCTCAGTTTAGACCACAGAAAGATTTTGCTCTCTTACCTTACTCTGGATACAATGAGGCACCATGTCATGAGTCCTTGTAGGGAGAGACCCACAAGGGATGGAACTGAAATCTCCTTACAATAATCAGCAAGCAGCTGTGTCCTGCCAATAGCCACAAGAGTGAGCTTGAAGCAACTCTTAGAGAGGAGATTACAGCCTCTGACTTTTTCTTTATTATAGCCTTTCAGAGACTGACACTCAGGTACATTGCTAAGATGTATTTGGATTACTGACCCCAAAAAGTGTGAAATTAGTGTTTGTTGTTGCATGGTGATAGTTAATGTATAGATATGAATACCTAATATTCTATTTTATGTTGTGTCTAGTATGTAACTATGACTTATGACAATGCAAAATATATGTATACAATCCTTACTTGAAGAATTAATGTCAGAAATTTCATGATTATGGCAAAACAAAATTAATTCAGAAAGTCATACTCTGATAAAACCTTATAGTTTCCAAATAGTCACCTTTCCCATTTTCAATTCATTCCTATCTTATCTTCATGTCCAATTGCATTTTCTTGACTGCGGTCACTAATACACCTGTGAAAAAATACTGAAAAAATGTGCATACACACAAGAAAAACTGTTTTGTTCTAGGCATGAGTAGCTCACACTTATAATTCCAGCAATCCAGAGGCTGATGCAGGTGAATCACCACTAGTTTGAAGCTAGCCTGAGCTACATAGTGAGATCGTGTCTCAAAAAAAAATCCCAAAGAAAAAGGCTTTATGTGAGAGCCTTTTAAAAAAAGAAAAACTGCTTTATTTCTAACTACATGTTACTATTGCTGTAGGATATAGGATAAAGCATCTCCAATGACTCACGGTCTAATTCATATTTAGGAAAGTATGACAAATTCGTGGTTGTTTTGTTTCTAGAGCTACTTTTCCACAATTTCACCTGTGTTTGTATCTATGAAATGAAATTACACATCTGTAGTCTTAAGAATTTAGTCAGAGTGAAAATGACCAGCATAATAAGAAAGCTGGAAAGAACTCTTAAATCTTAGCTGACTTCTGATTTCTCACTTTTTTATGAAATTGTATTTCCTATCTGCAGCAGAAGTTCACTTCTTACAAGGGTTCAGTAAAATGTCAGTACCTCCCTTGGAGATAGATGTTAGCATTGTATTCAGAGAAACTGAAAATTACTGCGCTATTTACTTTAAGATTTCAAAATATTGTGAGGTTACATTCATACCACATATACTACAAAACTAAGAAAACTTTCACTTATCTGTACATTTGAACCCATTCCAACGCTTTCCTTTCGTTCCGTGCTCACAGCTTTGAACATTGTTCCCTTGACATTTTTATAGTTCCTGATGGTGTCCACCCATATCCAATACTGCATTTGAGACAAGAAAGAAATTTCTATGAATCTCAAAGTATACCTTGTTTCCATCTCAATAAAATATACTTTTGCTATGGGAAATTTTGTCTCTTGTGAACGTGTATACTGTGCACCTTACTCACGCTTAGCCTATCCATATGGAATAAGCTCATGTAGGAGGAGAATTTTTCCAACAAATAAAAACAAGCCACAGATTTTACGCTGAACCAGGGCATCCATTTTACTTTGGAGTAAATCTGACTTCATTTAAGTAGTCTCAATGCTTTGTAAAATTAAACTTGGCTGATCATTTGTTTTCCAGGGTGATCATTAAAGGACAAAGCAGAATGTTAGAGCTGCAGCATTATTGGCAAGCTTTGCTTGTTTGCCTCTCTCTGTAAATGAGCAGCCAGTGGAACTTCTGTGCTGATGACACGGTTCCAAGCAGCCCATCTCTCAATGACATGCCTATTTGGCCAAACCTATTTATCATCGATCCATCCTTTCCTCTTTGTGTCTACTGCCACTGCCTTACTTCAGGCTGCTATGTGTTTATTTCTTATAAATGTTTTTAAATACTTCCACACTTGAAGTAGGCAGACCCCATATTCCTTTTGACAAAATTGCGTAATGATTATTCTTTACCACATTTTCCCCATTGCTACTCCCTCTCTGTCCCTCTTAATTTGCTCTCTCTTTTGACATAAATGCCTACCCCATGTGTATGTGTACACATGCAAATTAGCTCTTTTCAGGACCTTTTGAGAGTGAGCTGCAGATGAGATCCTCATTTTCCCCTAAATATTCCAAACACTCCAATGTGTATTGCCCTATAAGTAGAACATATTCTGGCATCACTACCAGATAACCTCCAAACCAGGTTTTCAACATTCATGTATCACCATCATCCACTTTTTAGGCCCTGTTCGAAATCCTCTTACTGTCTTCTCAATACTAGATCAAAAGAGCTATAAAACCTTTACCACCTCTTTCACCTAAATATGATGTCTACTTTCTTTCTCCTTGAATTTGGACTGACAATATGATTGTTGACCAATGCAATGCATGAAAGTTTGGTTCTCTAATAAAAAGTCTGATTTCCTGAGACCACTACGAGTAAACATCAGATGGTAAGCCTTCCTTTGATAGTCTCAATTGAGCCCAGCCTTCTAAACAACCCTACCAAAACTTCAGAAATGTGATCCAAGGCCTATAGGTCTGGTATATGGATACCAGAAGCATACCATGTTGGACAAAAGAATTTACCAATTAATCCTCATTCAAATTCTTAGGCTATATAATCATAAAATATCATACAACAGCTATTGCTTTGCGCCACTAAGTAGATGATACCATTTATCATGAAAAAAACAATCAAAACACCTAGCATTATCTCATCTTCTATATCAATAGAAAATGTATTACATTGAGATATCATGTATTACAGATTTCCTCAATCTGGAACAATTCTTCAGTCTTCCCCTGTGTTTTTTATGTTCTTGACAGATTTGAAGACACCTATCGGAGGCCTTTATCCTGGGTCCATCTCAAGAGTCATCACAGCTGGCTTCAAGTCACACATTTCCATACAGAAATAAGGCCTTGTTCTTTGTAGTATATCATAATAGTGATCACACCTTATCAACCCATCTCAGTACAGATGATGTCAATTTTGATGGCCTGGATAGGTACTATCTATCTTTAATTCATATATTTCTCATTTGAAATCAATTAGTATTGGTGGGAAGGTATTCTAAGGTGACAGCAGTATCTTGCTTCTCATTAAACTTTATCTACCAGCCTTGGCATCCGTGGACATCTGCAACTAAAACTTACCCTCTGGCTGTCCAATGGTGATTCTCCAGTCTATACCCAACATTTTTTAATTGATACTCTCCACTATTTACTTATTAATTTATATTAGTATGTATTCACAGATTTCCTTATCAATAATTGATAACCACTTATTATTTTGATGCTCAAGGAATCCTACATTTTTCCACTGGGAATTACTTCATAATGATTATTTTATCTCTTTGGATCATACTCACTATTTTTAACTTTTAACAATTCCTTTTTTCTTTGTATAAGATGTTTAAAGCACTTTGGGGGCCTTCTTTATCCCATCTTATAATCACTCATTCCTCATTTAGTAAATATTTTAGGCTTCGTGGCTCAGTCTCCTTTAAAATTGTTCATTTCTGCTCTTACAGCAATAAATCAGTGAAAAATAATAAGCAAATTAATGAATGAGGCTGTGTTCCAATAAAACTTTGCTTACAAGGGCTGGGGGGGTATGGCTCAGTGGTAGCATACTTGCTTAGCCTGTGCAAGGACCTGGATTCAACCCCCAACAAATATATACATACATATCTACCCCATTTATAAAAGCAGAGAGAGGGCTGAATCATGGATAAAACAGGTAGAAATTCTTATCCATAAAAAACAACAGAGGAGTGGGCTAAGGATTTAGTTCAGTGGTGCTGCCACCTGCCTAGCAAGTACAAGGTCCTGATTTTAATCACCAGCACCAAAATAATAATAATAATAATAAATAGAAGTGGGGTTGAAGGGAGGTCAGAATAGGGAAAAAATAAGAACCAAGATATATCATGCAATGGTACAAATTCCTACTGATGAATGTCATAATATTGCATACCTAAAATGTGCCAATAAATTTAAAGAATTAAAAAACAATAGAAGACCATTTAGACTAACAATACCTCAAGACCCATAATCCAAAGAAGAAAGAAAGTATAACAATGAGATGACATACTATGAGGGGGGAAAATGAAAGTACAAGTAAAACCTCAAGGCAAATATGAAAATTCTTGGCTCTCTGGAAATGCCAAAAAGGGAACCTATGACAATTAAGAAGCTATAGTCATTTGCAGTACATTATGTAAAAGTAGAAACTTGATGGAAATAGTTTATCTGTCACAGTGTGCAACTATTTAGAAGTTAGAAAAACATGATACTTTTTGTTTTTATTATATATTCACATATATAATTATTGCTAAACATTTTAGCATCTGAGAAATCTGTGAAATCCCTTTTCACTACACATGCCATAAAGGAGAGCAGCTGGTCTCAAATGCCAGCATATATTAAACATCATCAAAATGCTTATTTATCATGTTGGATCCATAGTCCCACATTCAAAGACAGTGGTTTAGGGAATCCCAGGTAGAGCATCCCAAGATCCTTTCATAAGAACCCCAAGATCCTTTCAAAAGCACACATCAGAAATTCTCCACTAAAGTGAATAAATATGTATGTATTTATTTATTTATATTGTATATGTCATGTAAGTGCCTAAACATGAAGGAGCTTTTGGGAAGCAGAATGAGGGTTCTACTGACTACCATGGAAACTCAAGAACCAAGTGCAAAACTGAAGAAACTGCTCCCATTCTGGATCATAGCAATTAAAAGATCACCTCTAACCGTGTGCTGGGTCACCCCAACTACGTTAGTTTCCTATTGCTGCCATAACAAATTCCCACGATTTTAGTGGCTTAATATATAAAAGTATGATCTTACAGTCCTTGAGTTCATAAGCCTGAAATATCTCTCATAAGATGTTGGCAGGGCTGTGAGGGTTAAGGGATAGCCAATTTCTTTAGGACCTGGACCCCGGTGGCACTGAAGAGTGTCCATCATACTGCCTACTATACCACGAAGAAGTTCTCTTCCCATTCCCAAGAATATGGCGAATGAGGAGAAGACAGAAAAGGGTAGTGTAAGGGAGTGAGGCTCGGTTCCTGAGAATGTTCAGGGTATTGAAGGCACTAATAGAACAGCACCTATACAAATGAAAGGTGAGTTGTGTCCTGGGAAAATTCCACAGGGGAAAGAAAAAAAAAAACAGAAGGAGGAAAGAGAATTTATGTTGCATCTATATGCAAGATATAGATGCAAAAGAATTTAGGTAATGTCATGGAGTGAAAGAGAAATGCTCGTATCAGAAAAAAAAAAAAAGAGAGATAAAACAGGGGTGCCACGCTTGCACAGCCTCTAAACTCATATGTTGAAATCCTGCACACCTGTATTTGGAGATGGGGCTGCTAAGGCAGTGATTATTGTGAAATGAGAACGTAGGGTCGATCACTGTTGTGACAGTACTTGTGTTCTTTAGGAGAAAGTTTGTTTAAGCCACCCAGTCCATGGCAATTGTGTGCTTAAGTAGACTATATAGAGGGAAAAGGAACAAAGGCAATATTTGAAGAATCAAGGGCCTAACCAAAAATTTGATTCATATGGATGCTTTATAGATCTGACCTTTGGCAAATGCATTCCCATGATGAAGCTATTTTGCCAAACTTAATTCCCGTCTAGTGAGACAATTCATTCTTACTGGCAAATTTTTAGAGATATACTAGGCAATCATTATCTGTATTAATAAAATAGTTTCCTATCCATTGTAACAAAATTCACTTGGAAAAAAATAAATGTTTTATGAATATTTATTGTGTGGTTATCTTTATAGGTTTCTAACATATAATATTCAAATGTAAATAAATCATACCAATCGATATATTTCTGTGCATTTATTTTATAGGTAACAATTGGAATGCATTTATTCAATGAGATCAAAACTTACCAGAATTTTCAAAGAATTGAAGCTTTCATGGAAAATAAAAAATCTCATTTGTCTTAACAGTTCCCTCTTTTTATATTCATGAGTCAATCATTTCCTTGCTTGAATAAATTTGTTTTCAAAACTAAGTTTTTAGTATTCAGAACATGTCTCACAGTATATGAAGTCATAGGTTCATAAGTTTAGAATCAAAACAAAATATTCTATTTTCCTAATCCTATTTATTACTGAGGAAGGGGACTCATTAAAGAAAGACAAAAGGATAGCTTCATAACTTCGTAACTCCAGTTTTGCTCTACTCTATACTTCTTATACTATGATGTGCAGTAGCCAGACAGACACTGTGGAAAAGCTTAGAAGACAATAGATAGTTTTATGAGCTAACTGAAACTTTGTTTGAACTCGAACCAATACTATCTTAAAGGTATTGCTGAATCCAGCAAGGTAAGTTTGAACATGTCATAACTGCATGATGGAGAGCATATAAAAGCTAAGTCTGTGAACAATACCAATTTATTGAATATGCCTTTTATATTAGCCAATCTTGCTCAGAAATTATAGTGATATAGTAACAGGACAAGAAATGCTCAGCATCGCGATTGGTCAAAGAAGTAACACGTGTGATACCATATATAGCTACTCAAGTACATCAGAATATTCCTGTTTATATCTTAGGAAATTCGTTCTTGTGGGAGAAGTTACTAGTTTGATAATTCCTCCTATGTCTGATTTTGGAAGAGGGGGGTCCTAAAATGCTGCATGCATCATAAATGGTTGATCAGACTGATCACGTCATTTGTGATGAAGTTAAAGTCTTTATACACACAATATGAACATTTTTATTATTTTTAAAAATTGTATTGGTACAATTAAAATTTACAATATAATGACATTCATCGTTGGAAATTTTCACTTTTATATAACCCATCTTGGTTCTTGTTTTTCCCCATTCCCCTGCCCTTCCTTTAACCCCTCCCTCCCTATCTACAAAGACTATTATTTTTCATTAGTTTGTACAGGATGTAATGATTACATTTATCTTGGGAAGTCGGTACATGCACATATCTTAATTATTTTCCTTTTTTTTAACCTCCCCTTTCTCCCCCTTCTATTTTTGAAATAGTGTTGAATATTGATTTGTCACTTCCCTTGAAATACAAAATGATATCCCAAAATTCAATCATACTGTCACAGGAATCACAGATTTCTGAATCTGCCACATTCATAGCAAGTGACCTTTGTCATTTCTGGCCTTGCTGTTGGAGTTGCTACTAAAAAAATATCACTTCATCAAACCAGACTTATGAACAATTTTCTTCTCACTAATTGTACTAGTCGTCAATTAAGCTAAATAAATCATATGCCAGGGTGACTACTTCCCAGGGTACACACTACATTGCCCAATTTTTTCTTCATTTCTCCTCCTTTGTCTCATTATTTTAATGAGGTAAAAGGTAGTAAAACAGCAACCCAAACTTGTATAGCAGGTCATTCCTACCATTAGTAAAACTGCTAGAGAAGTTTTATAATGAAAACATTATAATAGAAATAGAGGGCCCAGGCTTAAATTGATTAATTTTTTTAAAAGATTAATACAAAATTGGGAGGAGAGGGCCAGGGACTTAGCACAGTAACCTGCCCTGTAAGTGCAAGGACTGGAGTTTGATCCCAGGTACCAAAACTTTAAAAAAATAAATAAATTGAGAAGAAAAACTGGGACTCATTATAATCTTAGAACTCATTCGGGAGTTTAAATTAAATGAACTAAATATATACTGAGTTTAATGGTCTAATGATCTATAAATATTTAAGAATGTAAATACCCAAAGCAATATATAATCATTTAAATATTATAATTAGCTGTTTCCTAATCAGGAGAAATGAAGTAAAATACATAAAAAGAAATGGTAGGCACAGATCAAGTAAAATGCTTCGTTTTATTGAAAAAATTTTCAAAGGATATATTTATTAGCTGCTAACTGCTACACTACAAGCCTGAGGAAGTCATGGAGAGGCCGTGGTAATACAGCATCCCTGTGTTCAATATCACCAGCCTGCCAGCTGGGCTCAGGTTGGTCAAACCTCATAAATGCAAACCATTCTCCAGGGAGAAGAAAGATGCTGGGTGTAGGCTATTCTCTTTTTGTCTTCTTCTACTACACACACACACACACACACACACACACACACACACACACACAAACTACTACAGATACTTCTAAATACAAAATTCTAAAATGTTGGTTGAAATTCTGTGTTTTGACAAAATGTAGAGTCCCTGTTGCTTTGTTTTCCTACAATAGTAAACAATGAAAAATCTTTTCCAAATGCTACTTTTGAGGACATAATTACAATAGCAGTCACAGATGCTACCTCATTTAAGTCAATCTATTATATGCAAAGAAAAAAAATCATCAAAATAATAATTGGCATTGTAAGAGAAGATCACAGAGAAGCTGTGAAGGGAGATATTTTAGGAGTTTGGGAAGGCTTAGGAAAACAGGGACTAGGATCTTGTCATAGGTCAAAGTAAGGCCAGAAATTAGGTTAATCCACTAATACAATTCTAGAGCGAGCTTTATGCAATGGGAAGGTAGCATGCAAAGATTTAGAAGCCTGCCTGGCAGAAAAGAAATAAATGCAGTTTGCCTAGAGAATAGGAGAGAATTAGAAAGGTAAAAGGCAAAATAAAGAGACTTAATGTTCACATGAAGGATTTAAGATTTGTTTTTCACCCACATTTCCCAGCCTTAATTTCCCAGTGAACAAGAAAACAAATTAATTACTTTACATTGATTCTAGGGTGATAGAATCTGAACAATTGCAAAACCTAAGCGATAAAGAGGGCCTGCTCTTGGAAGAATTGCACACTCTTGGCTTAGACATCAACAGCTGGGGAATATTTCTAGGCCTTGGGAACAGTTAAAGGACTCAGCCATAAAGAAAGAAAACTTGGGTTATTTTGGAATAATAATTGAACCCTGAGACCATAATGATACATGAAATACATCAGAGATACAGGCTTAATTATCACATGGTTCCTCTTGTATGAGAAACATAAAATAAAAGATAGATAATAGGAAATAGAGAAATGGATCTTTTGCAAATGGGAAGGGGACTGAGAGATGGAGGTGAGGGAGGGGGTGGAGTAGGAGATGAACAAAGAAATGAGATGTGCTATATAATGTACCAACCCTGGACAAGGAATACAATCCTTATGTATAAATGTGCACAAAAAATTAAAATTAAAAACAAAATGGCTTCATTCATAAAAAGACAATAGTAAAGTACATAATAAACTTCTTAAAAATACTAATATTTTTCACTTAATCAGAGTGTAGGTAAAGCAGTATGTGGAAAATTCATCTGAATAAGGCTTATAAACTGTAAGAAGAGGAAAGATGGAGGCAGGAGACGTGTTAGGACATTATTACTTGAAATAAAATAAAAGACTGAAGACTGAAAAGATAATGCTGGTATACTTGAAAGGAATTAAGAATTACAGTAGAACCTCAATTTATAACCAGACTGACATATGAACAATTTCGGTTAAGACTGTAATTTTAGTTTTCACTTCCAACCAAAGTCTTGAGTTATGACCCGAATGCCAGCTGCTTGTGCTTTCAGATGGTCTCAGATACAGATTTAACCCTTAAAGAGTTGGGATTTTTCTGTTTTGGGTACCCAAGACTGAACTCAGGACCTTGTGCTTGCCAGGCAGGCACTATGCCACTAAGCTGAATCCCTAGCCCTAACCCTTAAAGAGTTGTGGAAAGAACATTACAACATTCTTTCCTGTGTGGGGTTAATTGAGAAATCCTAGACCAATGTCTCTGTGAGAACCCTGAGATCTGCCTGTATAAAGCAGAGACACTTTGAAGACTGTGTGGAGGAGCCTGAGCTTTCAATGGACCAACTTGAGTTACCAGCCTTTGGGAATGAATTGAGTTCATATGTCAAGGGTCTACTGTATAAAGTTACCTTCAGAACTGGAGCACATGATAGAAGCCATGAAGGCCCAGCATAGGAAGAAATGGAAAAAATAAATGGCCAACATAGGAAAGAAATGGAATCCATAAAACAGATTCAAACAGATATCCAGGAGATTAAACACTCCATGGAAAGTGTATGCAACAGAATAAAAGAATGCGAAGATAGACTCTCAGATATAGAAGATAAGATTGCAGTCAGTGACCATGAAAGAGAGGTCTCTTAAAAACAGTAAGAGATCATGAGAAATCGATCCAGCAACTCCTAGATGATGCAAAGAAGAATAACATAAGACTAATAGGAATACATGAAGTAGCAGGAGAAAATACAAATGACTTAAAAAAGCTGTTTGCAGAATTAATGACAGAAAACTTCCCAAACAGAGGGGAAGAATTTGACATTCAGAGAACTGAGGCATATAAGACCCCAACTAGCTACAATAAAAAAAAATCTACACCTAGGCATATAATAATCAAGATCCCAGAAACCCAACAGAAGAACAAAATACTACAAGCAGTAAGAGAAAAGAAACAAACCACATGCAAAGGAAAGCCCATCAGAATCACAGCAGACTTTTCAACACAAACCCTTGGTGCCAAGAGATCCTGGAATGAGATATTCCAAGTACTAAAAGAGAAGAACCTCCAGCCTAGACTGATGTATCCTGCAAAACTCTCTTTCAAAATGGATGGGGAAATAAGACACTTCCACGACAAAGAACACCTGAGAAACTACATGAATACCAATCCAGCACTACAAGCAATTCTAAACAAGATCCTAGAAAAAGACAATGAAGGCAATAACACCATGAGGCCCAACAGAGCAAATCAAAAAGGCAAGGCAAGAAACTAAAAAGAGAAGGTGAAAAAGTAAAAAGAGTCAACAAAAGGCCAATAACATGTCAATAATAAGTCAGTACAAATCAGTTATAATCATCAATGTCAATGGCCTAAACTCAAAAATCAAGAGAAATAGACTGGCAAAATGGAATAAGAAGCAAAATCCAACAATATGTTGT